GATCAACAGATGTATAGTTTGCTAGAAAAAATGTAAATCAAAGATTATTTTTTACTAGCTGCTAAGTTTTGCAACTCTATGTAGACGTCTTCAATCATTTGACTAGTGACGCCTCTCACTATCCCCGACAGAGTCCATCTTGAACATATGGAGAAAAGAGTCTAGGTTCTGTTTTTGTAATTTATTATATCAAATATATCGAATGCCAGTTAAAAAGAGCAGTGGCTATATAAATTATATCTTAGGAACACACCAAAAAATAAAAATCCATAAATGTACGGTTTGCCGATTACGCCCACCAAATTTGGTTAAAAAGGCTTTTTTTTTCTTAGTCAATTAGTAAATTGTGTAACTTTGTTTTTTTCTCAAGCGCCTTCTATCAATATTAAGGTGAAACAAATATTTATTAATTTGGATCTAAACCATGACAAATTTGATCAAAACCATGACGAATTTCTAGACACTTAACTGAACAATGTCAATTGCTTAACCAAACCATACCAATTTTGATATTTTGGTTATCCTGCGTTAATTTCTTTAAAACAACAATTTCAATTTAGATCGTTTGACTTACAATATAGATTCAAAAATGTTATTTGCCTCTTATTTGCTGATTTGAAAAGAACTGAGGCAATCATTCTGGGAAGTAATCTTACTAATCCATGACCAACTTATCCAAACTATGACAAAATCACTGAACTAAACGCTTCTCGATATTACGACCTTACTACCCGTGTGGTAAGTGACTATATTTCTATTCCCCAGTCAACATTGGGAGATGCACAAGATTGAGTAGAAAAAACTTGCAGAAAAATGTCTTTAAGCTTGTGTTGCATTTGTTTTAGCTGACCTTGTCCGTAGGATCAGTGTTGCTTTTGCCATCACTTGGCATCTGTGTCTGTTCATATTCTGTTAACTTTTACAAAAATTTTCTCCTTTGAAACAACTGGGCCAAACTTAACCACAATCATGATCTGGATATTTAAAAAAGCCTAAATTATAAATGGTTCAGAGGCTAACAACCTAAATTGACCTAAGAAGAACAGCCAAAAACCATTTTAGGTCAACCTACATAAGGGAGTTGCAAACTTACAGAAACTTTTATATCAAGAATTCTAGTTTTTCTAAATATTTTCTGGTGTTTAACTTTTAAACTACTACAAAAAAGCATGTTATAAATTGTTGCACCAGCTAAGTTGCCTTCTGTCTCAGTTTGCTTGTAATAAGTATCTTGCTGTTGAAGATATTATCACACAGTAACTAAGTATTTAGTAATATGGTTTTAAAGTTTGAATAAATCTCTCAAGTCAATCTGATAATAATATTGATAGTAAATAATTGCATATGTTTTATATACTTGGGTAAGTAGGTACTTACAAATTAACATAAGTTGTAGCATGAATCATGTTCTGTCATAGTTTTCATTGATTTATCAGAAGTTTGCACTCTATGTCAAGTGTCAGTGAAAAGTGTGGAATGAAAGAATTTTAGTTCAGGATAAATTTAGTGTGACACCTGTTGATTTATTCAAGAAGCATATAGCTAACATTCACAACCCCCTTCATCATCCCTAATGTGCATGAAATATTTGCTACTGGGTATTAGGCATCAATCATTATCCCCTCCCCCTTTCAGAATATAATAAGGCAAAGTCTATATTTCATTAAGAGGTAACACCCAATAATAATCTAGTCTGATTTACATATCTTAAACTTAAATGTATGACACAAGGCCAACAGTTGATTTGTTATGATGTATAGTGAAATCCCTATTTATCCATTGAAATTGAACAAACTGAAACCACTGTAGACCATTAAAGTGCAATAAAATGTTCCCATGTTTTCTCGAAATATAACAATGCACCTCTCTCCCAGTAGTTATCTAAATAGTATCTATGAAGTCAATTTTCTAAAGTCAATATTAACTTTACCGTTAAAAGCATACTAATCCCCATTCCCAAAATTTATCAAATAATGTGCGTCAACTTTTTAGTACAGTTTAAGGTTGATATTATTGAAGGTCATTATCAGAATTTATGAAGTAAATTGAAACATATTTGGTATTTACCGGTAGTGAATATGTCTGTCTGCTTTCTAAATCCTACATATCGTTTGCCGATCAACAGAATTAGAAAAGAATTTAAACTTTAATTGATGCCTTTCCAAAATGCAATTACCCAATGCTTTAAAGTTGATTTGCAAATAAAAGTGAACTGATGATGCATTCATACCTGGAATCAATGATTATAAAAGTTCACCAACTACTTTCATGATATTCCCAATTTAGCAAACTAATTAGTTTGCATGTGAGAGTGGAGGCATAAAATTTAAGGAAAAAGTTTTTTTAAACAATTTACATTGGCTTTATTGTAGAAAAACATGAAACTTGATGTGGAAAACTAATTACTTCTTATCGAAGCCGACATTGTAAAATTATATATATGTATAATTGACAGAAAGTCATCAAGTCTTCAATTTTATAGTGGTGCTGGCTCTCGATATTAATTTTTATGTATCACATCTTTTATAAGTTTCTGTATCCATACTTTTGTAATCCTTATTAACATGCAAACTTCATTAAGCATGTTATAAGAATCAGAAAGTAATTAAAGTTAGCATTATTAACACCCTATAGTGAAAGATCTTTGACTTTGATCTATAAGAACAGCAGCATGCTATTCAGCATTTATTTCATGTCCATCCTAGCATTTGGTGTGGTTTTTATTATACATCCACATGCTTTTCTTATTGAAAATATACAAGTCTGATGAAGATAAAACATGCATAAAACTGCAGGTTCCTAGCAACTGAAAATAGATCAGTATTCAGGAGGAAATTTACATCTCTTTTGAAGCTATTTAGATAATATGTATCACAATTGCTTTATATTAATCTTAATAACATCCACTTCCCTGAAGTCAAAGTGAGTAGTAAAACTATATACTGCATTCATCAACGATTTAAAATGAAATTTTAGACTTAATACTTATTAGGCTGTATGATCTACTTGAGGCTTCATATACAAAAAGATGTGTCAGCTACTAATACTTCAGTTACAAAAAAGAAATGGTGAGTTGAACATTGGCATGTTCCTGCTGTAGTAAATGTTCCCTTTTTTATACCAATTATCTGAGAACAAACACTCTATTATTCACATATTTGATATCATTTTGTTAATGTACAAGAAAAAATCTGGAGTACCAGTTGACAAAAAGAATTTAAAGTAAACCTTTGTTCTCTTTGTTCTATCCTTCCTAACTTTTGGTGAGAATTCTCCCGCTGGAGTTTCTACAGAAATGAAAACCTAACCCACCATCTATTTTAAATATGAAGATCAAGATAGATTACCAGATCTATGAATGGGCTCTTTGGATGTTCAGTTATTGTTTCTTACCTTTGTAAACGGTTTGTAAGCCACATGATGAAGTTTCCCTGTGATGAATTGAAAATGCTGTTACACTCAGATATTGCCCACTCAATATTTTTTTGAAGATCCCAGAATCTTCAAAAGAGTTGGACTTGCATCCCTTTTTAACCCTGAGAATTTCACATTATTTGGTTTATGAGCTCAATTTGTTGAATTGATGAACATGACTATAAATTTAAGTGGTCCATGAATGAAATGTGTATGCAGTTACTATTTTAAGTCATGTTCCTTCATTGAATTCTTTGTTTTAGATAACCAAGCAGTATTTATAGGTTCAAGTTTTAAAGTATGAGACCATGTTGTTGGTGTCCCCTAAATGTTGCAAATGTTTTTCATGTCTTAATTGTCAACCTTGATACAATATAGTCTGCCCCATTTCCATTCTCAATTTTATTTTTATGATATGCTTCTTGTCTTACTCCAGATTGCCAACATCTTTTGTCAAGTATGAAAGTTGCACTTTAACTTGGAAACTTCAGAAATTATGCTATAATGATCATATTTATGTATTATACACTCAATCTAGGAGTGCAGACTATATTGGCAATGATTGGAATCCCCTTTTCAGGCCATCTGTCTGTTCGTTCAACAAATTTACATCACACTTTTCTCTGCATAATCTGAACAGAATGACTTCATATTTGTTCAACAGCTTGACAGTGGTGAATTGTAAATTTTGAGCACTTATCAGTTCTGTCAGGTACCTACTGTCAGATACCTACTTCTTGTTTATTGATATTTGAAGTTTTCAATATGATGACTGAGCTTAAAAATTTTCATCACATATTTATCCAATACTACTTAACAGAATGACTTTTTATTTGGTAAGCAGCCCAACAATGATGAGTTGTAAAGGAATGAGTTTTTATTTGGTCAATACCCCAACAGTGATGAGTTGTAAAGTGTATCCCCTTTTCAGATCTGTCAAACACCTACTTCCTGTTTGCCAATAGTTTGAATTACCAGTGAGGATATGCTTTATAGATACAAGAAGATGTGGTATGAGTGCCAATGAGACAACTCTCCATCCAAGTCACAATTTGTAAAATGTATGACATGTGCATTCTTGTTTCTAACATCATAATGTATATGACCCAAAAAAATAGATGTATCAGTGCAAATAAGATGTTAAAGTACTGGCCTTAAAATAGTTTACATGTCTGCACTCAAAAGAGCATAAAAAAAATTTTGAAAAGAAGTTGCAAACAGTATAAAGTTCAACAAACTGAGGAGAGTTCCCTGTATCAGAGATAAACAACAACATATGATGTTTCCAAATTTTTCTCACTCACTTATAACCAATAAAAAATTACTGATTACAAAAAGTTTCTATTTTCATAGATCAGCTATTGAAAGAATTCAGGGGGAAAATCTCTGGTAAAACAATCACCTCCGGTTACCTAACAGCCTACCTGCCAAAAACCGTTCTGTTCAATGTTCTAATCATTTTAACATGATTATACAGTGTTTTAGTTAATTAAGGCATAGCAGAGTCCCTACATCTTATCAGTGGGTAAAATGTTAAGATGAAAAGAGTTTTAAATGATTTCAAAGATTTTTTTTCTTTTAAACAGGTCTTCTATGTGGAGATTTAAGTCATATAGGAACTAGTATGTGTAATGATGGTGTAGATGCTTTGTTGATTGGTTAATTACACAGATAATTAACAGGGATTAACACAAGGTAAGACAGATTGTTGATTGTAGAAAGTGATAATATTGGTGTAGTGCAGAATAGAAAGGCATACTAATGGGAAATGAATTGTGTTATGTAGAATTTTAGATGCTCAGGTTAATGTCACTTTGTGTTTGGGAGTCAGTATACTTTGCCTGTATGATACAAAAATAATATTTTGATTTAGTCATTTCTTTTGGATGGAAATTGGTTTTGATTTCATTGTCATCAAAACTAATACACTGCATGGGAGTCTTAACAACTGTTCATTGAATTAGAATCATCATATCTATCATTTAATTGCCAAAACTTGTAACTTAGTTGATAAAGAAGTAAACTTCTTTGTATTGAGTGCCTCTCCATCCATTGGTCTTCTGCATGAATAAAATATGAATCTCCATAACAATTGGAGCTATTTTCCTAATGCTTGTAGTTTAAAGGTTTGGTTGGCTTGTTGCTTGCTTTGTTGGTATAAATGTTTGCTCAAGCATTGTAATTAAGATTGACATCTGCAATCAATAGATAGGCAGGGCTTCAGCTTGTATACATTATACTTATAAATGTTATTGGATGATAAGCTATGTATACAAGTTGAAGACCCGCCTATCCATTGATTGCAGATGTGAATTTTAATTACAATGCTTGAGCAAACATTTATACAAACAAAGTAAATAAGCCGACCAAACCTTTAAACAACAAGCATTAGGAAAATAGCTCTAAAGCATCCTGCCCATCATTTTGCTTTTCAAATTTTATTTTTCAACCTCGGTTTAGGGGAGTCAGGAAAGCCTATATATAGTTTTTTTTTTTTTTATCCCCAATTCCTCCCAAACTGGTAAGTGGATTTCATTAGAGCTTCTTTAGGATCTAAAACTATATAGTACAAAAATCTTTTAAAACTTTCTATTGATTATGAATCATAATGAAGTTAAAAAAATGGTACTGTATGTTATAGATATTATTAGTCAGCTTAATTACCAATACAGCAGCTATTCAGTACGAAAACATTAAGCAGCTAGTTATCCTGAAAGATCTGAATGTTCTTGACACCACCGAAGCAATAGATTGGTTAGCCATCTTAAAACAAATCTGTCAAAAATATCACAAAATGCAGTGGGTAATCTCTGAAATCAAATTCACAACTCATCAATTCGACAGATTCTCATCAAACTTGATATATGGCTCTCCAGACCTCTCCAGATTACCAAACCGATAAAGCATGCTTGATTAGTCAAGTCAAGATAGAAATGCAATGAATTGGTTGAATTTATCATTTTACGCATTAAGTTTTTTTCACTTCCATAGTTTGTAAATGAAAAATAGAAATAATATTTTTTTTAAATCTCTAATTTACATCTTCAGTAACACATACATGTAGCAGTATTTATTAAAAAAAAATGTTCTTTATTGGCAAGATTTCATAAAGTGAAAGTTGACTTTTAGTACGGTAAATGTCTGCAGATTGGTTCAGGGAACAGAGAGAACCAGTTCTGTTTAATCATGTTCGCATTCAGTTTTTAACTGAAAACCTTCAACATTTTTGTTTTTTGTGAATGAAACTTTTACACAGGTAGCAGCTTTCTTGTGGATCAGGTGCCCATATATTTATTTTTGGACAATTTTGTCTGTTTAAAAGATATCTCCTGGGAGACTGTAGTTTTCCGAACTTTTTCTGAAATTGTAGAAATCAGTAAATATCAACTTTCTGTACTAATGTTCAATAAGATGCTCCTTAAATTACATCCATTACTAATGACTCCTTTCTATTTGTATTTGAATGGCTTTTCTCACAAACTATAAGCATTGGAACCCAACCATTTGATTCTTTCACCTCCCCCTTTTTTGTAGTAATATCATGTACTCTTTTTGTTTTGGTAATGCTTCTTATATAAATTAAATGATCACATTTTTAGAATTTGTTGTTTATTTAATCAGTCTGAAAGCCATCTGTCTTTGAAAAAAAGGAAAGAAAACACTGTCTTAAAGCAGTCTGAAAGCATGCTACTTCAGAGAATTATTGTAATTGCACTATCCATAGCCTTCCATAAATACAGTACAAAGTGCATGCCCTCTATAAACAACTTTCTGTATGGAATACTGTTTACAACACTTCACTTGTATTTGTTTAAATTGTCTGTATCAGCCACCTGAAAAAACCAGTCAATGTAATATAGAATATAATAGTAGCCTATGGTTACTATTACTTGTATCATCATCAAAGACAAAAAGAAAGTTTGTCAATACATGTAAATTTTTGTGGAAGGATACACATTGTTGATTTATTATATCATTGGAAAAAGACAAATATAAAGGTTCACAATTTTTTCTGACTTATTAATTTGAAACACAATTACAATTTAGATTATAAGTAATGTATGCAAAATGTTTTGTCTTCATTGCAGGGGACTATACTGTAGCACCTTTGAGATGCACATGGGGATACACATGATCCACAACCCCTAATTTATAGAAGTAGTTAAAACCTATAACAATTATAGCATATATTGCCAGATAAATTAAGGCAGGTCACAACCATCTTTGGATGGAAATCAATGAGGTCACATTACTTTAAAGGAAAAGTACTGTATTTGAAGAGATGGCACAGTTTATTAGGTTCACAAAAATACTGTTGGTTAATTGGAGCCTTTAAAACTGATCTTTGGGACTGTTTTAATTTTCTTTGGATAGATTTGTAGGTGGACTATGAATAAATGTAATATAATTGTCCTATTAAAATGCTTCAATGGAAACAGTTTAAAGCCGTAGTGACATTTATGTAAATCTCCCAGTTCATTGAATGTTGATCATTAAAGGACTATACCTCAGTAAGTGGTGTCCAGTGTGAAAAAACTTTTATATTCTCTCACTCACTGTTTGTTTATAACAGTATCCACATTACATTAGAAACACTGAATAAAATGTACCCTAAAAAAATTAATGCTTCCTTAATGTCACCTTGATTGTATTGAATATTGGATAGTTACAAAAATCCCAAAAGACAAATTTCGCTATTATAGAGAAAGAGTATAAACTAATATGAATCCTCTGTTGGTCTCCCATGATGGTCTTTATTAGTTTTATTTTTCTCGCGAATGATGGCTTTTATCAGATCTTTCTACCAAAAATGGATTTTTAACCTCCAGAATGATGCTTTAACATTTTAATCCATAATTGCATTAAAGACAATCAAGCAACTATCCTGATGTCTTTTACAGATTTATTCTTTTGTCATCTGTTGCAGTCATGATTAATGTGATAAATTTGTGGTATTACCAGGGATGATATCAAATTTTAAACATCTGTTGTTCTTTTTATAGTGCTGACATTAAATGCATTGATTTTAAGTCGTTTAAGCCTTCATTATGTAGTAAACCCAGGAGTAATCTGCTTCAATCAAAGGAAAATTTCTATAAATATGAGGTAAGCTTTACTTGTTTGTTTATTTTTAAACACAGACTGCTTCTGTAGAGGGATTAAATATGGCTTTCTTACAAGAATGGGATTTATCTAAAACTGGCTTTTTAAAAGGTCACTAAGATGAACTACTTTTTCAGAGATTTTTCCAAATTTTATAAACATACATCTATGAAATTATAAGCAAACTTGTGACTTGTTTATTCCAGATATTTTGTTCTAAGGGAAATTTCATACAAGCTATTCTACTTTAGAGAACTTCCATGACATCTGTTAGGAATAAGAAGAGCAATTAAACTATCCGGCTTGGATTTTGTTTTAAACCATGACTCTACCCGAGTCCATTTCATTTCATTTGCTCCTATGTTTTACAGGATCATTTACCCTATATCCCATCTTTTTTTATAATGTTGACTAGCTTTCTGGATTCTATCAATGCCCATTGATTCGTAAATTGTCAACTATTCAGATACAAATCTTTGTACAATATTATGCAGATTACCGGTATTTCATTAGCACAAATAAATTTTTTGTAAGTCTTAATTCAGTTGCACAATATATTTTTTTTCATTTTGTCAAAAAATCCTGAAATAACAGTATATTCAGATGTCTAAAATAGTTGCTTTAGATAAAGTAAAAGGTGTCATCTATTGGGCAGGTCTTTATTTGTGAAATGAATTAAATACATTTAATCTCACACTCAATACATCTTGGAAAACATTGACACAAAGTCCAATCCCAGAGGCAGAATTATTTTCCCATTAAAACATCTTTATAATTCACTCCCCTTGTGTTGGTTTTGTCAATAAAAACAAATAGTATGAATTGGTTTCTGTGACAATTGATTGAGGGGACAGACATTATTTTCAACCGATTTTGATTCTTTGTAGTAAAAATATATTATATATGCCGTTCTATCTTGACCACAATAGCCATTGCCTGGAGCTGAAAATAATTTCATTAATATGCGCCCAGATTCAATTACGAGGGGACGTTGTTGATAAATTCATTGTAAGAGCATAAGTAATGTAATATAATACAAAAATGATTATGTTATGGTTTGGAGGTCATCTTTAGGACATAATACATAGGACCACGTCAGATAATGACCATACTTGTTTAGAATTGTGATCAGGAAATATAGTGAAAAACTTAGAGATTGACAGTAAGTAGCAATTTATCTTGGGTTTTATTTTTAGCAGGAAATTGACTTGTAGTCCTGAGATAGGTTCAAGATAAATTTTGTGTTCAAATTTATGGTAATTTTACTAAGATTACTTGATCAAGCATTGTCCTATTTTCTTGTGAAGGTTAATTAAATTGTGGGGGTTGCAGAACTGAGGGTCAACAAATTAGTCAAATTTAATAGCACACAGAAAAGGAAGCTGCATAGTAAAGCTGTAAATACTTTCTTTATATTATATTATAGACTGTGGATACATTATTATTTGTTGGATGTCAATTTTGATGGATTTTATGGTTATAGGTAAACCATTATTTAGATATGCAAAGAAGTACAAATTTTCTAAAGGCTTGTAAGCAGACCTTTGCAAAACCTTACCACTAAATCAAATATCCACAAAAATACACAAATT